AGATATTTTAAACTCTTATAATCACTGCACACAATAAACTCTAATCCATAGAGATAATATTGCCAAATCTTGAGAGCAAAAACAACAGTTGTTAATTCTAGGTCATGTGTCGGATAGCTCTCCTCATGAGGCTATAGCTATCTAGATGCATATACCATAACTTGGTCTTTCTGCATCAACAGATAACCTAGATATTTCAAAGAAGCGTCTGTGTAAACCTCATAAGGCAACCGTGGATCAGAAATTATCAACATCGATATTAAGGTTAGCTTTTCCTTAAGCTTCACAAAAGCAGTTTCACACCGATCATCCCAAATGAAAGGCTGATCCTTCCTCATTAATCGAGTCAAAGGAATAGCAATATGTGAAAATACTTGAATGAGCCTTCTATAATAGCCTGCCAAGCTCAAAAAACTCCTTACCTTAGTTACTAAACTCGACCGTTCCCATTGTAATACTACATCTACTTTGTGAGGATCCATTGAAATACCCTCAGCTGACACCATATGTCTAAGAAATCTTAACTCTCGTAGCCAGAATTCACATTTACTCAACTTGGCATACAAGTAGTTATCTCTTAGATTTCTTAACACAATCCTTAAATGTCTCACGTGTTATTCCTTATCCTTAAAATATATCAGTATGTCATCTAGGAACACGATAACAAACTGATTTAGGAAGGAACAAAATATATGATTCATGTAGTCCATAAAAACTACATGCTCATTCATCAACCTAAATGGCATCAGCAAGAACTCAAAGTGACCATATCGAGTACGAAATGTCGTCTTAGGTACATCCTTAGCATTAACCCTTAATTGATGGTAGCTAAATCGCAGATCAATCTTGGAAAACACTAAAGCTCCCACTAGCTGATCAACCAAGTCATCTATTTTTGGGAGTGGGTACTTTTTCTTTATTGTTACCTTATTCAACTACCTGTGGTTGATACACAATTATAGGCTGCCATCCTTTTTCTTCACAAATAGGACCAGCGAACCTCACGGTGGCACACTAAGGCATATGAAGTCCTTCTCCAGCAATCCTTCTCCAGCAAGTCTTAAGCTCTACTAATTTTAAAGGAGCCATTCTATATGGAGCTTTTGATATAGGTTCAGTACCAGGTGCCAAATCAATAAAGAATTCCATTTCTCATTTTAGTGGCAAAGCCGATACCTCATCCACAAACACTTCTAGAAATTTACTCACAACTTGAATCTCATCAACATTATTATTGTCATTGCCTTCCATCACAAAGAAAAATACATAGGTCTGACAGCCATTAGAAACAACCTTTCAGCTTGCACTACTGACAACAATCTTGGTTGAATGGCAGTTATTGTGGAAATCATTGTTGGCATCACATGAACTGGTAGTAATACCATCTTTCTGGCACAATCTAAGGTAGCATTATTCCCTACCAATCAGTCCATCCCAATAATCATATCTAATCCTTGTATAGGAATTAAGATTAGATCTATCATAGAAGTCCTACCCTTAAAGCATAACTTAACCCTTTTACACACCTTACTGGTCTTATCCAGTAACCTGGAGGGTGTGGACACTTTAACCACATAAGGTAACTCATGCATAGGTAAATTTAACTTCTTCATACAATCATGCGATATAAATGAATGAGTAGCTCTCAAGTTAAATAGACCCTGAACTTTTTGCTCGCAGATAAAAATTGTACCTTTGATCAGATTCGATTTTGTTTGAGCCTCCTTTGGGGAAATAGTGTAGACTTGACCTGGCACTACTAGCCATTGCTCAAAAGCTCACCCTTGATTCTTAGGACAATCCTTTACAAAATAGCCCACGCCACCATAAATGTAGCATGCCTAACACCTTCCAAATGCCTTTTCCCACAAATCACACAAACAGGTAAGCGTGTAGTGCTCACACGAGATGTAAGGGCAGTAGTGGTTTAACTCAACTATTGTGAAGCTTTAGAATCTCTAGTCCCACTAAACCCTTACCCTGGCCAATAACTCCTCAAGATTGTGATCCTCTACTGAATATCCTCCTACTCAAGGATCCAGAACCATTAGCACCAAAGCTGCCTCTCTTTGATACCCCTCCAGTTGGGCTTAACGAAGTGGAAAACTATCCGTAGCTGTCTCTTCTCTTCTTAACATCTACTTCTCAACCTTGCCTTACAGTTATTCGAAGCCGGTTGCATGTTTCCTCCTATGTAAGCTCTCCTAAAAAGGCAATATGCCTTCTATACTCAGGTCATATCTTCTCAATCAATCTCTTTGCTCTCTATTTACTATTATCTTTCTCATGTAGATAAGTTACAAACTTGGAAAGCTGGTTGAACTTTCTCATAAACAACTCCTCATCTATATCTCCCTATTAAAAAGCATAAAACTCTACTTCTTTCTCATCTCAAAACGCCATAAGCAAGTGCTAGTCAAAGAACCTCTCTCTGAATTGCTCCCAACTGAGCCGACTACCACCAAAGGGTCTTACCAAATGCCACCAATGCTTGTCATCCTCAATTAGCCGTACTGTGGCAAACACCACTTTCTGCTCGGAGGAACATGGAGTAACCTCAAAGATAATCTCTATCCTCTCTATCTAGTTCTTCGTATCTCCCTGTCTCATACTGCCATTGAAGGTTGGCGAATTCAATCAGGAAAAAGTGCTCCAAACTCAATCTATAGGAATCTCTTGATCTTTCCTACCAGTTTCTAGCCTACTTCCTAAAGCATGAGAGGTCACTGGCCTACTAAATTGCATCTCAGGCTCTCCTCTCTCTTCAGCTTCAAGCCTTGCCTCTTGCTCTAGCCTTGACTTCTCGTGATCCCTGTTACGATTTAGGGCATCACGGCCTGCTAGACTTCTTTGAATGTCTACCATTACTTCTAATATATATGCCATGATTGGGTCATTACCTTGAGGTTGTTCCGGTGGCACCTCCAGATCCTGCATATCCTAGGCATGCTGAGCCCATATGCGTTATGGAATTCTACCACGTTCTCTTATAGCTCTACAGTAGTGCTATAGTAGCTACAGTAGCTTTACATAATTTTCTCCCCTCCTTTAGAGTAAAGGTAGAAAAAGTTAGTAAACAGGTGGTTAGAGACCAAAAAAGAGTAATGAATGTATAAAAGTTACCAATTGATACCATGCAATGCACAAACAGATCAAAATTAAGGAAGACTGATACCAAACTATAAAGTCCTGACTCAATCCAGGCTTTACCATTCCACATCAGATAATCAATAAATCAAAATCAAAGTATTAGCCCTTTGTTTGTTTTCAAATCATGGGATCCCGACTTCTTAAAACATATATTCAAATAAGAGGGCTAATAGAAGTGTAAATATAATTAAATGACTTAAAAAGCTATAACCTCTCAACCCTAAAAATAGGCCATAAGCCGTGACATGTGGTCCAAATCCACACGCTCTGGTTTTGATTGTGTCATGCACCATGATGTGAGATGCAATGCTTCGCAGTGTGCTTGTTTGAATTTTTTGCTGTCATTTGACAGCAAAAATGACAAACTTCCAACATGCATCGCTTCTACACCCGCCGTTCGATTGGAGTGATTCAAGTGCCCATACGAAGCTTATAACATATGCTAGCTAATGGAACTAGTTTAGACTCAATCTAACGGTTGGATCTAAAATTGGACACCCAAGTGCAAAAAGTCACTTTTTCTTTCAAAAACTTACACCCTAAGTGCTCAATTCACATTCTTTGTTCCATTAGACCACTTCAGGCCTTGAACCAAGTCCAAAAGAATCACATACACCTTATTGATACTACATATGACATATATCACATCTAGCCTGTAACACTTGCCCCGAGTGTTATCCAAAAATCACACAAGTCAAATAAACTAAATGTGGTTAAGGAGTTAATCCTAAAACCAACTTAGGAAACAAACCATTTAAATCACTAAGCAAATACATAATTGAAAAGTAAACATTTAAAGCCTTTAAAAAATTTATAGGTTCTACCTATAGCGCGCGGAACTAAGATAGACGAAAGTAAAATAAAAAAATATGCTATCATGACAGCATTAAATTGCTGTCATGACAGCCCTCCGGGTCAACTTCCGGGAGGCACCGTTTCGCCTTCCGATCTCCGATTGAAGTGATTTTAAAGCTCACAAGTCACATTCAAAGGGTACTATAAGTGTACCAAATTTCAAAAAGATCCAATGGTCGGATTGAAAATTAGACATGTTACAAATTTAGTCAATTTTGCTGTCATGACAGCATGAAAAGCTGTCATGACAGCACTTCTGGACCAATTTCCGGAGTGCACCATTTCATCATCCGACCTCTGATCGGAGTGATTTCAAAGCCCACATGTCAATTTTTAAGAATACCATTAGCATACCAAATTTTGAAAAGATCTAACGGACGGATTGAATTTTATGCAGGTTACAATATAACTATTGTAGCTGTCATGACAGCAATTTAATGCTGTCCTGACAGCACCTCCAAGCCAAATTCCGAAGTACATCGTTTCTCCGTCCGATATCCGATCGACATGATTGCAAGGCCCACACGAATCTTGTAAAAGGTTTTACTTGTGACCCAAATTTTAGAGAAATCCAACGGTCGGATTAAGATTTGGACACCCGGATGCAAAAGTGCAGCTTTTTGGTAAAAACCATTTTCAAAATTGTCCAAATCTCATCCTAATGGTCACAAACCTGTGGGAACACTTTAGACATGTCAAATAAGACTAAAACACCGGAAAGAACATTCAAATGATGGAAAACCCCCATACATCAAAATTTGACCACTCGGGTGCCATTTCCCAAAATGGACCCTAAACCCCCAAAATGCATAAATCATACAAGAGTGGTCACAAATCAATCCAAATACCATGTATTTATATAAATACATATGCTAAACATTTTCACTTGGCTCAGAGCTCCTTGTGGGGCCCACGCACCCACTCTCTCTATCCAAGCTGTATGTTTGCCCATAGCACACCATTTGCAATGCAACCACTTTGCATTTGCTTATAAAATCACATATATATCAAAATAAAGATCTGCTTGTAATAGAAACTTGGTCTACTAAGTAAATCCATCAAAACCACACACCATAACTAAGTTTCCTAGCCACAAGTCTGCAAACAGACAAAAATTCATACACAAGCACACAATCCACACATATTCACACACACACACACAATCATATCCTACTGGCACCCTAATCTTAAATACATTACAATATATTTGCTCAAAAGAAAGGGGTTGCAGTTCTTTACAAATCACAAGCAAACCCCTAGCTTTGCTCCTTTCCCCGTCCACCACTGGATCCTTCGCCTGGACCTAGAATATTGAAAAGAAAGGGGTGAGACAACCACAGTCTCAGTAATAGCAAAATTTACATTGATTATTACAAAGTAAGCCATAATCAAATAAACGAATAATAAATTCAACATAGTATATAATTTAGCCATTTAAAATGCATGAATGCATGACCTAGGCCGGTATGGCCTTTCATGACCAACAGAATGCCCCCTGGCACTCTTTAACTCGCAGGTAAACCTTATACCTACTTGTACCTCCACAGGCACAAAACATAATCTAAGGCATGATCTAATCCACCGAACCGCCTATGCCCCTTCGACGTGAATCCTGAGCAGTCAAAGCTAACTCCCTCCCAGAGCCAGCCCGACTTACTCTCCATGTGAGGGCTACCTTGGCCTAGGCACTCAACCTCACACTTCATGTGTCGGATTCCCTCCCCCACTGAGAGGTGTCGAACACTCAATACACTAACCACTTTAGTGCACTGAGCCCACAATACGTAAGACAACACTGAGTACTGACAGTGTGCCATAGAATATCAAAAATCCACACCTTCTCATTGGTGAACTCCCACCGAGATCATGCCTTTTACTCTTGTCTACCTTTCCTGAGTATTGACCATTCAACACTCTAAAGTAGTATAATATTTATAAATCTCATTTCCCTAAAAACATTGTTATTAAACAATTAGAAAACATATTTGCACTATAATCAAAGTAGTACCCCATAACCCCTTATAAAGCACATTTAATCTTTTAAAACATGTAATGCATGATAACTAGTAATATTTATTCAAAAATAGCTAAAACAAAGTAATAAGAAATATAAATTCCCCTGTTACCTCAACCCTTTGGTACCAAAAGGGTTCCCCTTGTACAAAATAGGGCTCGGCTTGTTCCTTACTTCTCAATAAGTTCCACCAACAATTTTCTACAACATATAAGTGATCCACATCACTTATCATGACAAATAGCATTAATGAAGACTATAACTCATACCACACAACTTAGGTCAATGAGTTATAATCCACCCTAATGGTCCATATATTAAACCAACCATTCACATAGTATCACTTAACCACCAAAACCATTTATTAGCCATCACTAGGCTAATTTTCAATTTATATAATTTTTTAATCAATTAAAAACCTTTACTTAGTGCCACAAACTTTCACCATTAGCCCTTATAATGAAAACCAAACCTTAATTTAAATCTTATTGGGCTCAAATAGCAAAATTATAACTAAATCAATAGGCTTAAACCATTGAGGAGCAAAAACCTAATTTCTCAAGGTTTATTTTGTGCCCAAAACACCTCTTTTCATCCAATTATTCACTCAAAACATTAGATCACTATATAGAAACTCAAAACATGCTCCCTAGAATCCAAAGAAACAAAAGCTTACAAGAATAAAGCCTTTGGGATCAAAATCCAAAAATTTTCTCTTCCAAAAATTGAAGAAAATCAAGAGAAAGAGAAGAGGATTGAAGTAGGGAGTTTACCTATCGTGTAGCCGAGCTCGCAACGGTCGCAAAGACTCCTAGATCCAAGCCTAACTCCCTCCCTTTCTCTTCTCTTCTTCCTCTCTCCCTCTCATACGTTTCCTTTCCTTTCCTTTCCAATTCAGTTTCTGCATCAGTTTTAGTCTTTAAATTGCTGGTCAAAAAGTTTGGGGAAAATTACAAGAAAGGGCCCAACATTTTTTATTATTACACAAAAGCCTGGGTCAACTTTGGTAATTTTTCCCATAGTTAAAAATCAAATAAAACCAAACTTTTGCTTAGTAAAATTCAAACTCTGGGCCTCTATCAAATTATTCTAAATTTTAATTTAATTATAGATATTTTATTTTTTTTTTATAAATCCGAGTCTTAAAATTTCGGGATGTTACATAGCCCATCTTGCTCTCTCAAAGCCACATACACAATTGTGGTTTTATATGAGGAAAACACATATACAACACATATTCACAAATACAACTAAACTTGCTCCACTTTCAACCCTTCGACTCTTACATATAGGGCTTTGCCTCACCATATGATCGAGAATCATAAATGTACTTGAATCTTCTAAATGGGGCTCCACCTCACCATTTGTGTCAAGTTCTCACATTTTATGTTAAATTCTCATATAACAATACAATTCATAATCAATACAAAATCATCATATCAATTTACATATAAACAAGTAGAACAAGTTATAAAACAACATATACTTGCTTGATTTGTATTTATGCTTACACACGTACCCTCTACTGGGGTACCCTCGGCATAATGCAATATCATATACATATATACAAGCAAGTTTCAAAACATAATCTACTTTCTCATATTCACATACATTTATGCATCCTAGTTGGCAACTTAACTTTATCAACACATTACACATTCATTTTTACTCAAAGGTAATCATACCACTACCAAATGAAGCTATTCTTTCCTCGCTTCCTTTCTCGGCCTTCTCATGCTCTCTCTTTACCTGTGTTCAAAAGTAACAGAGTGAGATGTACATCCCAGTAAATCAGAGATAATCCCAATTATTGATTAGTAAGAAAAATTATAAACAAGTAATAAAGTAGCAGGTGTATTAATAAAAGCAATATCATATGCATATACAGGAATTCATTCTCATTATGCTCATGTAATGCATTCCTGCTTCCCCCTGGTAGAGTAATCTCTACACTTGAACTAAGACTTTTAATCATAAGGAATAAGGCCCAACATACCACTACTCAGACCAGGTAATCCTCTTTGCATATGTGGTCTTCTAGGTCTGCCATGGCAGAGTTAAACTCTACACTCTAGATTATAAGGACTTCCTAGCCTTATATAGAATAGGACCATGACCCCCTACCCTAGTTTAGGATAACCTTATGGATTATTCAATATCTTAGGTCCGTCATAGCGAAGTCAAGCTCTATGCTCTGGATCATTAGGATTCTTCTTGTAGGTCTGTCCTGGCGGAGTCAAGCTTCATGCTTTAGATCATTAAGACTTCCTGGACCTCCTCATGGTAGGGCTGCATCCCCCTACCATAATCTAGGATATATGTCGCGGATACGATACATGTGCCACTTCAAATTCATTTCAATTAATACTCACACACCTGCATGCATATACTTTCACAATGCTGCTACTTTATCCGTTAACAATACAATGCACATAGTTATATCAAAGTACTTGTAAATAATTTCACAAATAAACAAGTAAAGGGTTACTTCAATTATCTTTAACCTTTGCTACTGAGTGTTACCAATCACACTAAGCTCCCAGGGGCCCAGATTCTCACGAGCAACTTCATAGGTGCTCAATCCACATAACACAGTGCCCCTCAATTAATTCTCAATACTTAATATAGACATTGATTCAGCTCAACTAAATCTCTTAACACATGAAATAGTTCAATTGAACCCTTTTTGAATTTACTTATTGATTATTTATAATCATTAGCCTTCTAGACTATCTAAATGACTATAACAATCTCCTAACACATTTATTCAACCAATCTCTTCCTTTAACCTAACTTTCTTCTGCCAAATGAGCTTAAATCTTCAAAGTTCAACCATTCAACTCCATACTAGTCACCAAACCATAGTTCTATATTCGATATCTTGTTTTGACCCTTTCTTTTAGATTACAACAACTCATAATTTCATGATTCAATTTCTTACTTGATGAAAGTCAATGAAAAAGGGGTAGAATTGAAACTTGGGATTGCATGATACTTACCCAGCAAGTTATTAATCGAAGTAAACTCCTGAGCTCCAATTATGGCTTGCCCTAACAGAGATGGCCTTCTCTTCTCCTCCAGACGTGTTTTTAGCCTTTTTTCTTTTGATTTCATGAGCTGATCACATCAACTTTAAGTGATCCCTAGATGATGTGTCATAACGCACATAGTTTCTGCCACGGCACGTGGCACAGTGAGTTCAATCTCACTTGTGCTCACGTGTTATGCCCCGGATTGCCTTTTTACCCTTCAATCCTATCAATGTAATACCCAAACAACACAAAACATCAACTCAATACCCAAACCATAATCAATCCACTAACTACTAATTTACCTCTAATTAGCAACTAGTTCCTAAGATTGAAATTCAGGATGCTACAAAGTGGCTTATCTATTCAAGTAGGAAACCTAAGGTGTTGCTAATGGAAGATTCCTAGCCCTTTAATTAATTATAGTAGCTCACTAACTTCCTTAGTTGAAAAATCTATTTACTTAAGACAACTATTTCAAGGCCCCTATGTAACCTTACTAGCTTAGCTCTAAAATTAACCAAGTATTTAGCTAAAATTCATTCCCAAATGCCACTATCCAAAGCTATACCTAAGCTCAAAACTATGAAAACTTAAGCAACTCATCAAGTATTCATCACACACTTACATGCTAAGTTAATACAAGACATTCTCCAAGTGAAAATCACATATTACATGTAAAACACTAAGAGGCCAAAATTCCAGCAGCATAAAGAACTTAAAATTCAACTAAACAATCTTGTTTCAACATTACAAATTACAAACAACTATGAAACTAAAGTTAAATTGAACCACAATCAACAAGAGTCATAATATTCTAATGAAATTGAAACAAGATGAAGAAATGGTTAAGCTTAACCAAGTGAAGACTTCAAGACTCCACTTCCATCAACTCTTCCCTTGGATTCCATAGAGACTCTAGCTAGAAAATATCAAGAGTACTTTGCTTCCTTCATGAACACAATTAGGCCATGGCACATGTGTAATGTCTACCTTGACATTACCAAAATTCACTACACAATTACAACAAATAATTATAATTTGGAGCAAGGATTTGCTCCTAAGTTCACATTATCTATATAAGGGTTAAAACTAATAATCTTTTAAAAATAATTGTGGAATAATTGGGATCCTATAAAAACCCTTTAAATTGATAGTTTGAGCTCAAACTTAATGATTTATAAAGGTATTAGAAGTATGGAAAAGTTTTGGGAAGCAAAACACTTCAAAACAGGGCCAAAAATGTCATTTTTGAGTGTTTTGGTCCATGCACTGTGTAATGTCCACCTTGACATTACCAAAATTCACCACACAATCACAACAACCAATCATAATTAGGAGCAAGGATTGCTCCTAATCTCACATTATATATATAAGGGTTAAAACTAATAATCTTTTAAAAATAATTGAGGAATATTTGGGATCCTATAAAAAACCCTTCATATTGATAGTTTAAGCTCAAACTTAATAATTTATATAGCCTTTGGAAGCATGGAAAAGTTTTGGGAAGCAAATCACTTCAAAACAGGGCTAAAAATGTCATTTTTGAGTATTTTAGTCCGTGTACTGCGGCATGTGGCACAGAATGCCAAATTTTCTTACTGTACCGTGCACCACAGTACACCTGTCCATGACAGCATTGCTGTCATGATAACTTTTCTAGATGAATTCCGAACGCGTGCCATTTTCACATCCGATGTCCGATTAGAGTGATTCAAGCGCCCACGTGAAGCTTATTCAATAAGCTAACTAATGGTACAAGTTTTGTTACAATCCGACACTGTATGGGAATTTTAAACACTCAGATGCAAAAGTCAGTTTTTCAAAGAAATTTTCAACCATCCAAGTACCCAAAACTCATAACTTATACCATTAACCCATTGTGAGGTTTGAACTAAGTTCAATAGACTAAAATACACTTGAGTGACTAATCAAACTCACAAAAACATACCAAATATAAAATTTAGCCACTCAATGGCCATTTTGCCCAATATGGCCAAAATACCAAATCAACATCATATAATATCACCACAAATTTACATGCATAATCCCTAACCATCTGGTCCTCCAATACTCCTGACCGAACCAGTAGGCTATTTCACAGAACCAAACCATATGTATGGTTCCCAAGCTCACTATCCATGGTAGAACTACCCGGCCAAGGTGTCCTAAACCACTTCTGGACTACTGTTTCCCCCTATTATAAGTAATTGGGGTGTCATTACTCCAACACCGCATCCTACGAATGCTAAGGAGCATAGTCTCCAACTCCGTACCCTTTTGGGTAGTAAGGAGAGTAAGTCTCCAACACCGCACCCATTTTTGGGTACTAAGGAGAGTAAGTGCTGCACCTGGCATCCCGAGGTGCTAGTAGTGCCATATGGACTTAATCTTCACTATCTCTACTAAGGTGACCTCCCATCCTCTAATATGCCATATTTCACTACATATCTGTGCTTGAACATGCATAAACAACTTTCTAAACAAATGTAACAAAACCTTACCATTTACTTCAAAAATATAGAATTTCACAAAGCAACACTCTACTCATTTTCTAAAATAGTTGACCTTTAAGGAATATATACATATATACTCAACAATTCATAGAAAAGCAATTTGAGAATAACTTATACAAGGTAATAAACAATGCAAATTATCTAGTTACCTCAACCCTTTTGTTACTAAAAAGGTTACCCGTGGTACTAATTTTCTTCTTGTGTTAAGGTAAGTCTTCCCACTCCACAATCTAGATCAACAAGTACTATATGTTAATTTTCAATTAACACAAGCACCATTAGTTAATAATAACCTCCCAATTCTCCCACTTCCTACTCAAATTCTCAATAAAGAGGCTTGTCAAGA